CTATTTAGGTCTTCTGCCCATTTTTGGATTAGGTTGTTTGTTTTTTTGTTATTGAGTTGCATGAGCTGCTTTTAAATTTTGGAGATTAATCCTTTGTCAGTTGCTTCATTTGCAAATATTTTCTCCCATTCTGAGGGTTGTCTTTTGGTCTTGTTTATGGTTTCCTTTGCTGTGCAAAAGCTTTGAAGTTTCATTAGGTCCCATTTGTTTATTTTTGTTTTTATTTCCATTACTCTAGGAGGTGAGTCAGAAAGAATCTTGCTGTGATTTATGTCATAGTGTTCTGCCTATGTTTTCCTCTAAGAGTTTGATAGTTTCTGGCCTTATATTTAGGTTTTTAATCCATTTTGAGCTTATTTTTGTGTATGGTGTTAGGGAGTGATCTAATCTCATACTTTTACATGTACCTGTCCAGTTTTCCCAGCACCACTTATTGAAGAGGCTGTCCTTTCTCCACTGTACATTCCTGCCACCTTTATCAAAGATAAGGTGTCCATATGTGCATGGGTTTATCTCTGGGCTTTCTATCCTGTTCCATTGATCTATCTTTCTGTTTTTGTGCCAGTACCATACCGTCTTGATAACTGTAGCTTTGTAGTATAGTCTGAAGTCAGGGAGCCTGATTCCTCCAGTTCCTTTTTTTGTTCTCAAGATTGCTTTGGCTATTCGGGGTCTTTTGTGTTTCCTTACAAATTGCGAAATTTTTTGTTCTAGTTCTGTGAAAAATGCCAGTGGTAGTTTGATAGGGATTGCATTGAATCTATAGATTGCTTTGGGTAGTAGAGTCATTTTCACAATGTTGATTCTTCCAATCCAAGAACATGGTATATGTCTCCATCTATTTGTATCATCTTTAATTTCTTTCATCAGTGTCTTATAATTTTCTGCATACAGGTCTTTTGTCTCCTTAGGTAGGTTTATTCCTAGATATTTTATTCTTTTTGTTGCAATGGTAAATGGGAGTGTTTTCTTGATTTCACTTTCAGATTTTTCATCATTAGTATATAGGAATGCCAGAGATTTCTGTGCATTAATTTTGTATCCTGCCACTTTACCAAATTCATTGATTAGCTCTAGTAGTTTTCTGGTAGCATCATTAGGATTCTCTATGTATAGGATCATGTCATCTGCAAACAGTGACAGCTTTACTTCTTCTTTTCCAATTTGGATTCCTTTTATTTCCTTCTCTTCTCTGATTGCTGTGGCTAAAACTTCCAAAACTATGTTGAATAAGAGTGGTGAGAGTGGGCACCCTTGTCTTGTTCCTGATCTTAGTGGAAATGCTTTCAGTTTTTCACCATTGAGGATGATGTTTGCTGTGGGCTTGTCACATATGGCCTTTATTATGTTGAGGAAAGTTCCCTCTATGCCTACTTTCTGCAGGGTTTTTATCATAAATGGGTGTTGAATTTTGTCAAAAGCTTTCTCTGCATTTATTGAGATGATCATATGGTTTTTCTCCTTCAATTTGTTAATATGGTTTATCACATTGATAGATTTGCATATATTGAAGAATCCTTGCATTCCTGGAATAAACCCCACTTGATCATGGTGTATGATCCTTTTAATGTGCTGTTGGATTCTGTTTGCTAGTATTTTGTTGAGGATTTTTGCATCTATGTTCATCAGTGATATTGGTCTGCAGAAAAACTTTTGACAAAATTCAACACCGATGTATAAAAACTCTCCAGAAGGGAACCTACCTCAACATAATAAAGGCCATATATGACAAACCCACAGCAAACATCATTCTCAATGGTGAAAAACTGAAAGCATTTCCTCTAAGATCAGGAACAAGACAAGGATGTCCACTCTCACCACTATTATTCAACATAGTCTTGGAAGTACTATCCACGGCAATCAGAGAAGAAAAAGAAATAAAAGTAATACAAACTGGAAGAGAAGAAGTAAAACTGTCACTGTTTGCAGATGACATGATACCATACATAGAGAATCCTAAGGACCACCAGAAAACTACTAGAGCTAATCAATGAATTTGGTAAAGTTGCAGGATACAAAGTTAATGCACAGAAATCCCTTGCATTCCTATACACTAATGATGAAATATCTGAATGAGAAATTAAGGAAACACTCCCATTTACCATTGCAACAAAAAGAATAAAATACCTAGGAATAAACCTACCTAGGAAGACAAAAGACCTGTATGGAGAAAACTATAAGACACTGATGAAAGAAATTAAAGATGATACCAGCAGATGGAGAGATATACCATGTTCTTGGATTGGAAGAATCAATATTGTGAAAATGACTATACTACCCAAAGCAATCTACAGATTCAATGCTATCCCTATCAAATTACCAATGGCATTTTTTACGGACTAGAACAAAAAATCTTAAAATTTGTATGGAAACACAAAAGACACCGAATAGCCAAAGCAGTCTTGGGGGAAAAAAACGGAGCTTGTGGAATCAGACTCCCTGACTTCAGACTATACTACAAAGCTACAGTAATGAAGACAATATGGTACTGGCACAAAAACAGAAACATAGTTCAATGGAGCAAGATAGAAAGCCTAGAGATAAACCCTCGCACCTATGGTCAACTAATCTATGACAGAGGAGGCAAGGATATACAATGGAGAAGAGACAGTCTGTTCAGTAAGTGGTGCTGGGAAAACTGGATAGCTACATGTAAAATAATGAAATTAGAGCCCTCCCTAACGTCATACACAAAAATAAACTCAAAATGGATTCGAAACCTAAATGTAAGCCTGGACACTATAAAACTCTTAGAGGAAAACATAGGAAGAACACTCTTTGACATGAATCACAGCAAGATCTTTTTTGATCTACCTCCTAGAGTAATGGAAATAAAAACAAAAATAAACAAATGGGACCTAATGAAACTTCAAAGCTTTTGCACAGCAAAGGAAACCAATAAACAAGACGAAAAGACAACCCACAGAATGGGAGAAAATATTTGCAAACAAATCAATGGACAAAGGATTAATCTCCAAAATATATAAACAGCTCATGCAGCTCAATATTAAAGAAATAAACAGCCCAATCCAAAAATGGGCAGAAGACCTAAATAGGCATTTCTGTAAAGAAGACATACAGAGAGCCAAGAAGCACATGAAAAGCTGCTCACTATCACTAATTATTAGAGAAATATGAATCAAAACTACAGTGAGGTAATACCTCACACCAGTTAGAATGGGCATCATCAGAAAATGTACAAACAACAAATGCTGGAGAGGGTGTGGAGAAAATGGAACCCTCTTGCACTGTTGGTGGGAATGTAAATTGATACAGCCACTATGGAGAACAATATGGTGGTTCCTTAAAAAACTAAAAATGGTTGTGTAGGATCCTTCTCTATTCTCTCTTTTAAGACTTCATGGCTTACATGTGTGGATGTGTTTTCCACTAAGATTTCTCTGTTACTAACATTGTTTTCTCTAAGATTCTGGCTTTGCAGACATTTGAGGAGCAACAGGGTATTCTGTACTCACTTTTGGTAAAAATTGGCAGAATTTAAAAGGTTATATATTCATTTTCATTTTTGTAACTTTTTTCCTCTGCATTTTCTAAACTATTAAATAATAGTCGATGAGGAGTTTACTGTGACTTTTCCAGGTTAACCACCCACCCCCCATTTATATTTTCTTCATTACTAGCAACTTTATTTTTATAGGGTTTTTAAAATTGCTTCCATATCATAAATTGTCAACTTTAGCATAAAGTGTTTTGGGGTTGGTTTTCTTTTTATAAAAATAGTAAACATCTTAGAATGTTCTTTGTATAGGATGGTTATTGCCTAATAATTTGAAATTTAAAGCAATCTTGTCCACTACTAGCCATTTTTTATCAAAAAATTTCACTGTTTATTGAGTGTGCATCATTTATTTAAAATTAGAATTATTTCAGCAATGCTTGTGGCATACTTTTGATTATAAATTGATGTTAAATTAGGGACAAAGAGCAGTTCATAGTATTGTTAATGATTAACCGTGTCTTTTCTGAGTGTGACTATTTGTCTTAACATTTGGCAGTTAGAACTTTAACGTGATGAATTAATCTCAGAATTTTGCTTATATATGCATCTTTCTGCTTACTGATATCTTGTTTTCTAATTTCTATGCATTATTATAAAGTTAAAATTCTAATTCAATTTTTTTTACAAAGGATACAGTATATATATACTGATAATTATTTCTCAGTAGGTATGTGTTTAATATTGGTGTTTTCCTATTTGTCGACCTTTTTCTTTTAATATTTGTCTTTTCTAGTTTACATGTTCTTCCTTACTTGTAAGTTTGTGCATAATTAAATAAACAGTAGAAATATCCAATATATGAAAGAAACATACAAAGAAGGAATTCAGCAATTGTCTTTACTTTGCAACTCAGGTGTGGTACTCAGTTATCCCTTGGTTAAGGTTGTTGTTAGTCTGTCCCTTAGTGTTCCTATCTTACGTCATAGTATTCTGTAGTATTTTAAAGCTTTTTTTTTAAAACTTTCCAACCTAAAATATGATTAAATAGCATGTTTTCATGCTTTTAGGAAAAAATTGATTTTCTTTTCCAAACAGAATGAGGAATTAATCTATTAACATTTCTGCCTCTTGTTTGTTTTCTTGCTCTTCAGAGGAAGAGTATTTTTCTAACATCGTTCTGTTATGGTAGAAAATGTTTTTCGTCTCATACTGCTTGTTCATGGTGTCCTGTACAATAAATTTATTCATTCTACAGTATAATGTATCACTTCCATTTTTTCACTTAGGATTTTCTGCTGTTTCTTGGCAAAAATGGCAACCAGTGATGCCGTTCTCAAGAGACTGGAACAGAAGGGTGCCGAGGCAGATCAAATTATTGAATATCTTAAGCAGCAAGTTGCTCTTCTTAAGGAGAAAGCAAGTAAGGAAATTTGAAAATTTAAATTTTCTAGGGAGATAACTTAAGATGAATTCATATATTGACATAGCAAAAAAATATATATATGTTTACCACATATATTATTACTTCACAAACTTGATGATGAGTTCTATATTCCTTTAATATTACAATTATGAGTGAAATAATATAGGGTTAAGATAAGCTAGAATTGGTGTATAGTGAATATGTGATATTTAGAGAAAACAACATTATTTTAAGACTGATAAAAGAAAATACTTAAAATAAGTTGGTATAGAATTAGAGATTAAAAATGAATAAAATTGAGTGGAGTCAAACATGAACTCAAATATCTCCTCTAACCTTGTATAGAAGAAAATGTATACTTTCACATTACTCTCTGCTAGGGTATTTTCTGAAATGATTTTTACATTTTTTCCAGTGCTTAAGTTTTACATGGAAATTGCTATGATGCATACAAAAAATATCAAATCTGAATTTCTGCTTTTAAAATTTAGGTTGTTTTCTGTTTTGTTTGTTTAAGTATATTTTATTTCTCAATAGCCAATGTTAATGTTATGAAAATACCAGAATGTTTACCATCACTTATAGAAATAAATGCTTTTCTTTGCTACATAAAACTGAATGGCTTATAGAATTCTACATTCATTCTCTAAAAATTTTTCCCATTATCAATTTTTTTCTTAATTTTAAATACTGTTTTAATTATTTTTATAATGTTTTATAAACATTGTTATTGTTTTTCTTAAAATTTTAAAAGGATTTTTCTTATTTTTAAAAATTCTTAATATTTTCATTAGTAAGATGAAGAGATTAGAGATATATGTAATATAGAAGAGAATTAAAAAAGAAGTAATTTTTGAATAGTAGTAATAATAAAAATGTGTATTTCAGTAAGTAAATACTTAGGCAGGACTATACTGCCTGACATATGAGAGGGTCACATGCTACATGGTTCACATACATGATGTCACCAAAAATGCAACAGGTATAATACAGATTGATACAGTAGTGTGCCTTTGTATAGACAACTCAGATACCAAAAGCAGCTTTCAGTCATGTTGTTGATTTACTCAGAATGATGAATGATTCTTTATGTAAAGCTCTTGAACAAAACAAACTACAGTCTACTCTTGATTTACGTGGTACTTGATTCCTAGAAAATTCAGAGTATAATGAAAATGTTTAAGAATGTTTATATATAAAAAGTAATTAGGATCTAGGCTCAAATAATTAACAGGATTTTCACTTATACAAATGTACAATGGGCCGCTGCAAAATCCTGCAGAATGTAAGACGGTTCTTCATTTTACTGGAATATCTAGCATATTTCAGGACATCTGGCATCCCTGACCCCTGCCTAACAAATGCCAGTAATGACTCCCATTATTTGTGACAACAAAAAATACTCCCACAGATTTTCAAAATCCCACCTAGCGAGCAGTAGCAACCCCACCAAGAATCACTGTTTTTCTTTTATATTTTTGTATACCTTATTGCTGACCTCGAATATTATGTGTTGAGCAAATCTTTGAAGTTATTTCATTCATTAAATGTTTGACCAGCTTAACTTTTGAGACATTAGGAGTAAAAGATTATTCAGTTCCTAAAAAAGAAGAAATGAGAAATTTTTTTATTGTTTGGTATCATTATTAGATCTTAGACTTTTTTAAAAGTTTAATATGTCTAATATTTGTCTCTCTTTCTTACAGTTAACCTGTTACTGACACTCTGAGCCAGGTTCATAAGAATGTTTATAAAAGCTAGGAAAATGATTGATAAACAAAACCTTTTATGTTGTTATTATTCCACAGATTTTTTCCCCGTTTTTCTCTCTCTTTTAAATATCATGTTATTTTAATAAATACTAAACTGATATAAAGAAACTGGCCAAACTTTTGGTTACTAGCTTTGTTTAAACTGGCTATGCTTTTTTTAAGTAGTATCCATAAGAAACCTTTTAGAAAACAGCTGTATCTTAACTGGTTGTTCTTGATCCCAGTTTTGCAGGCAACTTTGAGAGAAGAGAAGAAACTTCGAGTTGAAAATGCTAAATTGAAGAAAGAAATTGAAGAATTGAAACAAGAGCTAATTAAGGCAGAAATTCAAAATGGAGGTGATTAATTACAGAAATGATGGGTTGTTTTTATTCATAATAATAATTATTATATTGTTTATTAAGTTAGGTTTTATGCTTGGCTACTCACGCATTCATGCATTTATCCTCTTATACTGAAGAGAAAATACAGACTTAGAAAATGCAAATAAATGATCTTGCCTAAGATCATGCAAAAAGTGTCAAAGCTGGAGTTCAGAAAGCTGTACTTCTAATCTCTGTACGGTGATCATCACTATTCCCTATTAAACTTGATCATCACTATTCCCTTGATCATCATCAACTATGTCACTATATAGTTGTTGAAAATAAGCCATAATAATATTTAGTTAACATTTACTAAGTTTGGCTTTATGCCAGGCACTGTGCCAAGTGCTTCGTATACATTATATATTTTATCCTTAAAATTACATATATACAAATATCCTTGTTTTACACATTGAAGCTTAGAGATGTGTAGTCATTTGCCTGAAATCAAATACTTTTTTTTTTTTTTTTCTTGCGGTACGCGGGCTTCTCACTGTTGTGGCCTCTCCCGTTGCGGAGCACAGGCTCCGGACGCGCAGGCTCAGCGGCCATGGCTCATGGGCCCAGCCGCTCTGCGGCATGTGGGATCTTCCCAGACCAGGGCACGAACCTGTGTCCCCTGCATCGGCAGGCGGACTCTCAACCACTGCGCCACCAGGGAAGCCCTCAAATACTATTTTTAAGTTACCCAAGCCAGCATATAATTATCATTCCAACATTTATGTTGGAAAAAAAAATGAAAATTTTTATTGAATTATTTTAAAGGTTTCTAGATAAATTCACATTATTATAAAATGACATTAATAGTATGAATAGTTCTATTATAATTTCAAAGTACCACATGGAAAAACATTTGATTATATTGTAGAAAATCCTTCCTGGGTGAATTAAGGAGGCCCAGGTGTAGTGAAACCCTGTCTTACTACTCCCTTTTGACCTTTATTCTCTCACTAAGTTATTCTGAATGCTCTAGTATGTATTCTACCCTAGCTAAATAAAAGTAAGAGGAAAAAGCCAATAATGTATGCTTAAAACTATCAACTGGAGGGAATATTATTTTCACTTGAAAATAATTGATGTTTTCCAAGATTAGGAGATTTGGAATACATGTGCAGAATTAAATAAACCGGTAAAATATTAGCAGTGTAAAACTGCTTTTCATTTCTCCCAGTTCTAGATCTCCCTGTAAACATTAAACTTTTAAGCTGTGATCTTAATAAAACGCTGAAACAAACAGTTTGAATTAAAGTACTGAATTCTGTCTTGTTGAAACATAAAATAGGGGTAGATGGAGCTTCATATTACTGAAAGAAGCCTTGAAAGAACTTAAAAATACCTCTGAAAAGTGGTTTGAATATTGGCTGGAATATAAGCCACATCAAAATCCCTCACAAGATTATATTCTTCCATGTTCACTAGGCAGTGAGTATGTTTTTAACATTGCTGGAGCAATTTTCTTTACTTCTTTAAAATGTTTTTTGAAACAGAATTATGGGCAAATAATGCTGCTATCTCTCCATTACTTCTGATGATTGTTACTAAAACATCTTTTCAGTTGATTGTTCAACTTAAGAGAAAACCTGAGTGAAAAACATGCCATCTTGCCAAACCATGAGGGGGGTGTAATCTCTGGAGATAGACAACCTGGGTATAAATTCTTACTTCCCTTACTCACTATGTGTGTGATGGGCCAGTTTCTTAACTTCTGTATGGCTCGGCTTGATCATCTGTAAACGTGGATATGAATAAAACTTATTGCTTAGGGTATTTATGAGAATTACAAGAGTTAATTCAGATAAAGCATTTTGAAAAGTGTCTGGGACATAGTAAGTTTATAATAAATACTAGCTTACATTGTTGCCATCTAAAATTTTCTCAGTTTAATCATTAGTGATTGAAGGAGAATAATGCATTTATTCTTTTATGGTTAAAATAAACTTAATTTCTTGGTAGCCTTTCTACAGTCTCAGATAGTAGAAACTTGATAATCATACACACTGAATTTCCTTTTTAAGAAGAGTTCATGTTCTACCATATGACCCAGCAGTTCCACTCCTAGTTAGATATCCAAAAAACCAAAAACACTAATTCAAAAAGATACATGCACCCCAATGTTCATAGCAGCATTGTTTACGATTGCCAAGATATGGAAGCAACTTAAATGTCCATCAACAGATGAATGGATAAAGAAGATGTAGTATATACATACAAACACAGTGGAGTACTGCTCAGCCATAAAAAAGCATGAAATTTTGCCATTTGCAGCAACATGTGTGGACTCAGAGGGTATTATGCTGAGTGAAATAAGTCAGACAGAAAAAGGCAAATACTGTATCACTTATAGGAGGAATCTAAAAATTATAACAACCTAGTGAATATAATAAAAAAGAAGCTGACACAGATTTAGAAAACAAACCAGTGGTTACCACTCAGGAGAGGGGAAGGGGGAGGGGCAATATAGGAGTTGGGGATTAAGAGGTACAAACTATTGTTTTTACAAGGATATATTGTACATTATGGGGAATATAGGCAATATTTTATAATAACTATAAGTGGAGTATAACGTTTAATAATTGTGAATCACTATATTGTACACCTGTAACATAATATTGTACAACTGTATTTCAATTAAAAAAAATAAAGAGTTCATATTTGTTATTCACAGTTTTCCATTTGTTTGTTGTTTAATATAAACGACATTATTTTCATTTTCTCTCTCAGTAAAACAGATACCATTCCCATCTGGTATTCCACTGCAAGCTGATTCTGCGGTTTCTGAAAATGTGATACAGTCTATACCAATAACAGCCATATCTTCTGGTGCCAAAGAGCAGATAAAAGGAGGAGGAGGAGAAGAAGAAAAGATGAAAGAGAAAATTGAAAAGAAAGGTATTTTTGAACAGTTCAAGTTATTTGGCACTTGACTCGTTTATCACATGTCAGCATTTTTGATAATAATGGTGTCAAGAAGAAAGTTCAGACTTATGAACTAAAGTTAGGAACAATAGGATAATGGAACCTGGGCTCTAAAGGATGACAGGATAAGAGTGTGGCATTTGAGGTAGAGGGACCAGCATAACTAAAAAAAAGGAGAGATTAAGTATAGAGGCCCATGTGTAGTTTGGTATGACTGAATTTAGGTGTATATATAGGGGATAGTTTCAGAGAAATCACAGGTAGAAAGTTAGCTTAGAACCAGTTGTGAAGATAGGAAAGGGATATTCCAGTCAAACCAGAATTTCTGAACTAGCATGGGGGTGTTGAAGTTTTAGAAACCCATTAAGATCTGAAGTGCAAAGTATATCACAGTCCACTTAGGCAACTAGAGTAGAAATCTTAGAGTCAAGCTTAACTTGTCCCTGTCCCTCAATTTCATATTTAATTGGCTACCAAAACCTATACAAGCATACCTCAGAGATATTGCAGGTTCAATTCCAGGCCACTGCAATAAAGCAAATATCACAAGAAAGCAAGTCACAAGAATTTTTTGGTTTCCTAGTATATATGAAAGTTATGTTTATACTATACTGTAGTCTGTTAAATGTTCAATAGCAGTGTGTCTAAAAAAAATAGTGTATATAACTTAATTAAAAATACTTTATTGCTAACACATGCTAACCATCATCTGAACCTTCAGCAAGTCATCATCTTTTTGCTTGGGGAGAGTCTTTTCTCAATGTTGAGGGCTGCTAACTGATCAGGCTCATGATTTCTGAAGGGTGGGGGCCTGTGGCAGTTTCTTAAAATAAGACAACAGTGAAGTTTGCTGTACTGATTGAATCTTTCTCTCACAAACTATTTCTCTGTAGCACACATGCTGTTTGATAGCATTTTACCCACAGTAGAATTTCTTTCCAAATTGGAGTCAGTCTTCTCAAACCTTGCCATTGCTTTATCAACTAAGTTTATGTAATATTCTAAATCCTTTGTTATCCTCAACAGTCTTCACAGCATCTTCACCAGGAGTTGATTTCATATCAAGAAACCACTTTCTTTTCTCATCCATTAGAAGCAACTCCTTATCCATTAAAATTTTATCATGAGATTGCAGCAATTTAGTCACATCTTCAAGCTCCACTTTTAATTCTCTTGCTATTTCCACCACATCTGCAGTTCCTTCCTCCACTGAAATCTTGAACCCCACAAGTTATATATGAGGATTAGAATCAGCTTCTTCCAGACTCCTGTTACTGTTGATATTTGACCTCTTTCCATGAATCACAAATATTCTTAATGGCATCTAGAATGGTGAGTCCTTTCCAGAAGGTTTTCAATTTAGTTTGCTTAAATCCATCAGAGGAATCACTATGTATGGCAGCTATAGCTTTAAAAAATATATCTCTTAAAGAATAAGACTTGCAAGTCAAACTTCTTGATCCATGGGCTATGGGCTATCCATATAGCATGGATGTTGTGTTAACAGGTGTGAAAACAACCTTAATCTCATTGTACATCTTTATGAGAGCTCTTGGGTGACCAGGTGCATTGTCAGTGAGCAGTAACATCTTGCAAGGAATCATTCTTGTGAGCTGAAAGTCACAACAGTGGGCTTAAAATATTTTGTAAACCATGTTGTAAACAGACACACTGTCATCCAGGCTTTGTTGTTCCATTTATAGAGCACAAACAGAATAAATTTAGCATCATTCTTAAAGGCCCTAGGATTTTCAGAATGGTAAGTGAGCATTGGCTTCAACTTCAAGTCACCAGCTACATTGGCCCCTAACAAGGGAGTCAGCTTGTCCTTTGAAGCCAGGCATTGACTTCTCCTCTCTTGCTGTGAAAGTCCTAGATGGCATCTTCCTACAAATAGAAGGCTGTTTCATCTGCATTGAAAATTTGTTGTCTAGTGTGGCCACTTCATTAATTATCTTAGCTAGATCTTCTGGATAACTTGCTGTAGCTTCTACATCAGCACTTGCAGCTTCACCTTGAATTTTTATGTTATGGAGATAACTTCTCTCCTTAAAGCTGATGAACTAAGCACTGCTAGCTTTAAACTTTTCTTTTTGCAGATTTCTCATCTCTCTCAGCCTTTACAGAATTGAAGAGAGGGCTTTGCTCTGGGTTAGGCTTTGGCTTAAGGGAATGTTATGGCTGGTGTGCTCTTCTATCCAGGCCACTAAAACTTCTCCGTATTAACAATAAGGCTGTTTTGCTTTCTTATCATTCATGTATTCACTGGAGTAGCACTTTTAGTTTTCTTCAACTTCTTTGCATTCACAACTTGGCTGTTTGGCAGAAGAGATCCAGCTTTGGGCCTATCTTGGGTTTTGACATGCCTTCCTCACTAAGCTTACTCATTTCTAGCTTTTGAACGTGAAGAATGTGTGACTATTCCTTTCACTTGTACACTTAGAGACCATTGTAGGGTAATTAATTGGCTTAATTTCAATATTGTGTTTCAGGGAGTAGGGAGGCCCGAGGAGAGGGAGAGAGACGGATTGGCTTGTTGGTGGACAGTCAGAACACACACACAACATTTATTAGGTTCAGCATTTTATATGGACATGGCTTGTGGTACCCCCAAACAATTACAGTAGTGACATCAAAGATCACAGCCACAGATCACCATAACAAATATAGTAATAAGGAAAAAGTTTGAAATACTGTGAGGATTACCAAAATGTGACACAAAGACACGAAGTGAGCAAATACTGTTGGAAGAATGGGGCCAAGAGACGCTTGATGCAGGGTTGCCACAAACCTTCAATTTGTAAATAATGCAGTATCTGCAAAGTGCAGTAAAGGGAAGCACAATAAAATCAGGTATGCCTGTAATTCCTACGACCACAACATATCTGGAGCGCAGCTCTGTTCCTCCGTTTTGTTAGGTGCTACCAGGTAGTTCAGGTTCTCATGATCTCATCTAAATTAATGTTCAAGCCTCATTTTTTCTAGTCTGTCCTTCCATTGCTGCTAAAGCTATTTTTCTAATCATAAATCTGACTCCTTTTTTTATTTAACTTTCCTTTATTCCTTTCTGGACTTCATTTCCCCAGGTATGTCTAAAAATGTGCTTTTATAATTCATTATACATGCCTCTCATAGTATTTAAACTTAGTTAAAATTTTTTTGGAAAATATAAAATGGCTCAGGGATCTGTGAGCTAACCTAAGCCATTTTAGCACTTCTGAGTTCTTTTAGTAAGCATCAATAGCCTCTGTTAGAAGTAGTTAGTGGCTGTACATCCTCTCCTACATAACTTCACCACTAGGTGGTATGGTTACAAAGAAAGCAGTTCAGACTAATTCTTTCACTTTATGAATTTTATTAAGTAGGCACAGAACAGTCATGCAGCCTGTTCTTATAAGTTTGGTGAAGTCCATCCTCAAAGAGGATGCGTTACAGTGGCTGCAGGGTCAGCCAACCTTCTAGTCAAATGAGACAACAAAGTCTTCCTTTGGAGGAGGAGGGAGCACACAAAACCAAATGGAGATCTAGGTCTAGAATGCCTCTGTTCAATAGAACTTCCTGTTCTGTATAGCTGCATTATCCAACACAGTAGACAATAACCACATGCAGCTATTTGAAATGTGTCTAGTATGACTAAAGAACTGAATTTTTAATTATTTTAAATTTAAATGTTAATAGCTCTGTAGGGTTGGCAACTACTATATTGGACAGTGCTGGATTAGAAGGCTGTTCCATTGGTGTTTGGCTGCTAAGATTGCCAGATTCCAAAATTCTGCTCACACAAGGGTTGTGGCACCCATACAGTCTTTCTATACTGCCACTTATAAGCATCACTCATTTGTTAATGAAACATTTCTAAAATCCCTTAAGATGACTAACAAAGTTCTTGGTATAGATTTTGATATTTGCAATCACCTCTGGAATGTGGATTCCTGATAAAGATATTTCAAATGCCTAGAGAGTAAAGTTTAAAAATGTATATGAAAATAGCTATATTATGCTGTTATAGTAGTATGTATGTAGTATTTTAAAATAAATGTATAGTTTATCACTCAAAGATAACTACTATTAAGATTTTTGTAGTAATTTTATATATATATTTCTATATCATTTGGGCTTTTACTCTTTAAAAAAATCTTTGCTAATATGTTACATGGAAAATAGTATTTTTTAAAAATTTGCTAATGAAAGTAAAAATTGTCCATTATTTTAAACTAGCTCTACCTTCTTTTTTATAGACTATCTTTGTGTAAATTGTGAATGCTTTTTACACAAAATCATCTATTCCTACTCCAGGCAGAATTATTCTTCTCTGTGCTTCTATATTTCTTTGTGTATGTAATATTTATCACATGTTCACTGTATACATCTGTCTTTCTTAAAAGAGATTTTTAGTGCTTAGCTAGCATGTGCCACTCATCTTACTTTTTTCAGTGCCGTAGATCTGAGTAAATATTTGTTCAAAGATAAAACAAAGAAATAGTTAAGAAACAATGTTTTCGGGCTTCCCTGGTGGCGCAGTGGTTGAGAGTCCACCTGCCGATGCAGGGGACATGGGTTTGTGACCCGGTCCAGGAAGATCCCACATGCCGCAGAGCGGCTGGGCCCGTGAGCCATGGCCGCTGAGCCTGCGCGTCCGGAGCCTGTGCTCCGCAACGGGAAAGGCCACAACAGTGAGAGGCCCGTACTACAAAAAACAAACAAACAAAAAACAAACAAAACAATGTTTCAAGCCATAATAACTTATCTCTTAAGATTGGGAGGTAAATAAGTTTTTGTTTTGTTTTACATTTTTTTTCTGCCAGAGAGGCTAAATGTAAACTTTAGGAATATGAACTCTATACAGGTTGCATTTTGACTCAATGGCTAAAGTAATCTTATGCTAATAAGAGTTATATTATCAGCATATAAATAAAAGTAGAATTTTATAAACATAATCAGAATAAAATGTGACTCTCTAGAGTCACAGTAAATCTTAAATCTTAAAGGATTTTCTACACTTCTGTTTCAGGGAAAGGCAAATTTTCTCTTTAAAAGGTTATTTGCTGGCCATAAAGTCTCTGTTACAACTACTACACTCTGCCGTAGTACCAAAGTATCCATAGACAACATGTAAATTAATGAACATGATTTTGTTCTAATAAATCTTTTTGACAGGTAGTGGGCTGGATTTGCCCTTGAGCTATAGATTACCAGCATCTACTCTGTGTCTTTAACTAGAGATATAGACAGTTAATTCAACAGAGAAATTGCTTAAAAAGGGTTCAAATATTGTGACATGAGTAATTCTTTCCTTTGTTATTTAAATGAAGATAGGAGATAAACACTCATTTTTTTTTTTTTCTTTTAAGCTCAACAGCATCAATGCTATAGAGATTTTCATAGTGTTTTTTTTGTTTGTTTGGTTTTTTGGTTTTTTTTTTTCGGTACACAGGCCTCTCACTGTTGTGGCCTCTCCCATTGCGGAGCACAGGCTCCAGACGCGCAGGCTTAGTGGCCATGGCTCACGGGCCCAGCCGCTCCCCAGCATGTGGGATCTTCCCGGACTGGGGCACGAACCCGTGTCCCCTCATCGGCAGGCGGACTCTCAACCACTGCACCACCAGGGAAGCCCTCATAGTGTATTTTTACTTCTGATGTTTGTCCATTTATAAATATTTTTAGGAGAGAAAAAGGAGAAAAAACAACAACCAGCAGGAGGAAGTGCTGACTCTAAGCCTATTGATGTATCCCGTCTGGATCTTCGAATTGGTTGTATCGTCACTGCCAGAAAACACCCTGATGCAGATTCTTTGTATGTAGAAGAGGTAGATGTTGGAGAAACAGCCTTAAGAACAGTTGTCAGTGGCCTGGTGAATCATGTTCCTCTTGAACAGGTAATCTGTATAGCTAAAATTATTTCTACATATACATTTCACCTTCATTCCCTCTTTCTTAATGTTTTTTCATTTAATTTTTGTATCATACTGCACAACATGAGCCGGTATTGATTAATTCAGTTGATTGGTTTGAATGTAATGAATTCCACCAAAAAGTTCATAAAACTAGCAAAAACTTGCAAAACATCTGTAAATTACGATCAAATTCAGGAACATAGAAAGAAGAAATGATTTGGTTTTTTTTCTCAATTTTTAAAAATGTTTTTAGTTTGGTATTTAACAACATTGTTCCATCATGGAATTTTATTCCTTGATTTTTAAAATCATTGTTATATAATTCAGAAAGTACCAATCTAAAATTAAGAAAGCAAGTTTTATTTCTTTATAACTCAAGAAATATTTTCATACCTGAAGACGAAAGGGGAGAGGGGATCATGAAGATTGAACTTGCAATTTTTAATGGTATTCCTTTATTCATTAAAAATTTGATGTTTTGGGGCTTCCCTGGTGGCACAGTGGTTGAGAGTCCGCCTGCCGATGCAGGGGACACGGGTTCATGCCCCAGTCTGGGAAGATCCCACATGCTGCGGAGCGGCTGGGCCCGTGAGCCATGGCCGCTGAGCCTGCGTGTCTGGAGCCTGTGCTCCGCAACAGGAGAGGCCACAACAGTGAGAGGCCTGCGTACCGCAAAAAGAAATTGATGTTTTGTATTTTATTATTTAGATATTTAAATGTATCTATATTTCCAATGACCATGGAACGAATCAAAGACAGTAATAGTTTTCAATTTGCTCTTTCTAGACATCTTCTGTAGTAATTTGCATCATTTACCTATCTCCTCTGCCCCATAGGGCTTGAGATATTGCAAAGACCATAGACTTCAACATTAAAATAGTTCTGCCTCTCAGTCCTTTGCCAACTTTGTTGCTTATTGGCTTTGTGAACTTGGATAAATTCCTACATTTATTCATTCCTATTTCTAGATGCTAATATTTATTGAGCACCTATACTGTGCCAGGAACTATTCTAGGCAAGTGAATTAAAATAGAAAGATAGATAGATAGATAGATTTGCTTAAAAAAATAAAAAGCCCTGCCTTTGTGAAACTTATATCCCTGTGAGGGAGTCAGAAAATCATAATATATAGTGTGTTAAATGGTGATAAATATCAGGAGAAAAATGAAGTAGGGAAAGAATCTAGGAAGTATTGAGACTAGGAAGATGTTGTCATTTATATAAAGTGGCCATGGAAGACCAAAGAAAGTGATATTTAAGTAAAGGTCTAAGAAAATGAAGAAAGCAAGTCATTCTGTCTGGTGGGAGAGCATTTTCAGGCAGCCCTGAGTCAGAAGTATTCCTGGGATGTTCAAAGAACAGCAGGAGGCCAGTGTCACTGTAGCAGACTAAATAAGGGGAAATGTCATGGGAGATGAAATCAGAGATGAAGATGCCAAATGATATAGGGTATTAGAGATCATTGTAAAAACGTGGGCTTTTATTCTGAGTGAGGTGAAAGCCATTGGAGGATTTTTGAGCTAAGGGGTAATATGCTCTGTGTCACATATTAGTAGTATCATCCGGTTGCTTTGTGGAGGGGAGAAAGATGGAATTAAGGAGATCAGTGAAGAAATTTCTCTTATCTGTGAAAAAAAGATAGACTTGGCACATGTGTGTGCTTTTTCTTTTTAACATCCGTTTTGTATAGGACCAGGGCTCCTTTATAACTACTTATGAAGTTAGGTTCATAAGGAGCCCTGGAGAAAAGAACCAACTGATCTTGAGCCAGCTCAAATTGGAAAAACTCCTCCTCCTTGGGGCTTCAACGTTTTTGTTCTCATAAGTTACAGACTTTTTCTTCTCTTCCAGAAGCTATCATTCACAGCCATAAGCAAAGCTATTTATGTACACATCTGTATCTAACCCAACAAGTCAGTACTAGTAAGCAGTCTATAAAGTAATAGCACTTAGCTCCCCAAAACTGCATACCAAATTTTGTGCATTTGTTTATTTTTCTAAGGTAAAGGTCCACAGCTCTCATCTGATTCTTAACAGATTGCATCTAGCTAACCCTGTTGTTTTTCTTATACATATTTGCTATAACTTTTCTTTTGAAGTTCCCATATATGTGGCATTTTACAGTTATTTGTTTGAAGACAATAAGAATTCATGAAGACCTCCAAAATGGGGGCCTTTTAAATTTGAGCCTTAGGCTAATTTTTTTTAATCATAGAATTTGGTAGTAAATTTGAAGTTTACAGAAATTTTTATGTACTTCTTTAACAAATTATAGAAATAGCCATAATTGTTCATTGTAGTGTGCACAATGCTTGAATTGTTAAATGATCAGTATTTTTTAACTTAGGAAATGAACCTTGCATAGTATTGGAAATGATCAAACATATAGGAGAAAAAATGTGCATTTATTTTAGTGCTAATGATAAGCTAAATACTTATTTACATGTTGTGATTTAATCCTTGTGACAAGTCTTTAATATCATTTCCCTCCTTTTGTGAGGAAACAGGGAGATCAACTTTATACAGCCTCATTGCTAGTACATGGCAGATTAAATTCAAAACCAAATCTGTTTCACTCAGCCATTTCTTTATTTATATTTAAGTGAAATATTATTGCCTCTGCTGTTTGATCTCTAATGCCTATTATTGCCTCTGCTGTTTGATCTCTAATACATTGTCAATTTGTAGAATTTTTTTTTCATGTTGATATAAGACTTCTTAACAACATAAAAGATTTTGGACACAGATAAGGATAAAAACAGCCACAAAAATAGGACATTTGATATTTAGCGTATTAGGTGTACCTTAATGTATTCTAGATAAGATTATTCTAAATCTCTAGACATCTTTAATCACCAATTTATATTTCACACAGATGCAAAATCGGATGGTGATTTTACTTTGTAACCTGAAACCTGCAAAGATGAGGGGAGTAGTATCTCAGGCAATGGTGATGTGTGCTAGTTCACCAGACAAAGTTGAAATCTTGGCACCTCCTAATGGGTCTGTTCCTGGAGACAGAATTACCTTTGATGCTTTCCCTGGTAAGTATTTGTTAGTCATTATTTAAAATAGTTTGGGAATCATTGTTCTCAAAGCTATGCTTGGAATGTTTAAATTTAAAGTCAATCCTGTAAATGACTTGTAAGACTTTACATTAGATGATCATTATTAGTGATATTATTGAGTTTATTGAGATCGACTCAAGATGGCACAACTGTCTAACTATTCCGTTCCCATGAACACTCAAATTTCATAAAACACCAGAGAGATTTTACCCTAAGTGAAATACTAATTTTGATACCTCCATAGCAGAAGTGTCATAAGAATAGAGAACCAGTTAATGTGCTACAAAATCATTTAAGCTGTAGATTATCTCAGAATGCAACACAGAAAGATGAAGAGATGAAGAGGGAGGGGGAAATGCATAATTCTCTAAGTCGGTCTAGTAATATACTTGCATATGCTTTTACTAGACTTGAGGATTTAGAGGAAAACTCTAAGTAGAAATTCATATTTATTTTAATAATCTAAGAGGAAAGTTCATTTCATATTGCTACTTTTCTGTAGTAAAATGCTCCTGAGACGGATGAAACTTCATAATGCATGAGAACATTTCTTCAAATAGGTCTTTGAAGCAGTAAAGAAAGGATGCTTGGCAGATGTAGAATAAATATTTCTTTCATAAAAGTTGAAGACCTCATAAGAGGAAAAACAGTTAGAAATTAAAAGACTGTATTTACAGAGGATGTTCATTTGCCTAGAGTAAGGAAAAGCAGAAGTAAATTAGGATAACAAGTAGAATTAGGTTTAAAAGTCAAAATTTATTTGGAGATGTATTTATGAAAACAAATGAGTTTTAATGGAATAGCAAGGCTGATATGATTATTAGGCCTGTTTTTTTAATCCTATGTTAACTGTGTTTGATGATATATTAAGACACGAAGAATTTTAACATTGGAATGATAAGATATTTAAAAATGGATGAAAGCATGGGTAATTCCCATGAAACTCAGCTCCCAACTCCTAATAAAAAGTATACTAATCTAAAAAACATGGGGTTGTTTAACAAGTATGTGTGACTTTGAATCCATGTGTATGTCTTGAACCTTGGTAGATTGAAGATCATGATGGTCTGTGCTCTGAGAACTTTTTTTGGTAAAGCAGGTTTTGGGAAAATCCCAGTCTCAGTCATTTCTCAAAGCAGCATAATAGCTTTTGGTTCTAGGAGCACACGATCACCACTCTACTTACCAGGGTATCAGAACACTTCGTCAAACCTCATGCTTTTGGGTAGGCCGTCATGTGTATACCTGACAAACCTGAAATTCTATTTCACCAAATTGGAATGGAATGAAAATAGAAGCAAACTTTTTCTTTTAAGATTCAGCACACATTGAAGAAAAAAAACAAAAATCTTGGTTTACCCTTTCAGATTAAAATTTGCCTTCCTTTTTATTTAAATATTTAAGATGAATACATTTTAAGTTTTATTTTTTGATATAAATTGTAGAGTCAGATGTTTAGAACTGGAAGAAATCATCTACTTTAACCAACTATTTTACAAATTTGGAAACTGAGACCCAATAATACTTAAGTTACTTGCTTAAGGTTATACAGAGTTTGTAGAAGGATCAAACAGTAGATGTGCCTGAATCTCTAATACTGTCAGCATTTTTGTTGATTGTTGCTTGCTGTGAATTCATATGGGCTATTTCATTAGAAAAGGCTTATAGTTCTTTTATTTCTATGAGAGCTTTCATTCCCTTATCTTATAGAATTAACAGATAAATATTTCAGCACTTGAATCAGTTTAGAGTTAACAGATATTTCAGCACTTGAATCAGTTATTATCTGGATGTTACTGTTAACGTATATTGAAATTTTTTTTTTTTAAGTTACTCAGTGATTTAGCATTAGAGATGCTAATAGCCCAGTGTGGATTTCTTGCTTTTACTATATTTTTGAATCTTCCAATCTGTTTGGCTGTTTGTGTGTTTATGTTTACATCATTCCAAAGTCTGATATTTCTTTCATATTCATAGTTTCTCCTTGTGCCTTACCACATGAATATGTAGCTAACATATAAAAAAATTTGTAAAGTGAAAGGGAAAAACCTAACATTAAAGTAGCCTATGAGGTTGTTTGAATTATTCTCTTATAACTTATAAAATGCTTAACCAAGCTGAACAGCATCGAATAATTGATAAACTTGGGGACATGAGGTCTGTTAGTACTTATCCTACTTATGCTTCCACATAGCTTACTGCTTCTGTAGCAGTAAATCTAAAAGGAAATAACAGTTAATACTATGTATGCAACAGAGCATTAGTCTTATTTTTTGTTTGTTTGTTTTCCTTTTCCCAGAGAGAGCCATGATTTATCAGTACTGTATTTTTCAGCATATGTTCTACATTTTAAAGCTTAAGGTGTCTGCTGGTACATTTTGATGTTCACTTGATGTGCTCAGTGTCTAGAGATTTACCTTTTATGTTATGTATATTAAGTGTGGTATAGAAATTGCAACTGGGGCTCAAACCTTTGAATTGCTATTTGGCTTTGAATAACTATTTTCTCCAACTACAAAACCATCACTTCCATAGAGTTTAGAAGATGCCAAATAATATTTTTATAACAATGGCTAAAAACTCTCCCTGCTACTTTTTAAAATCTTAAATGTGTGAAGCCATAAATTTTAGTATTTAAATATGGTAACTGGTCCCTAAAGCATCAAGTAACTGAAAACAATATTACGAGATAAAGGCATTGATATCTTTTTTTTTTTTTTTAAGAATGCACTGGTTTTGGTCTAATAATAAATGAGAATTTGCATTCAGACTTCTAACTTCTAAGATCATGCTTATTTCTGTTGATATTGAGTCTTATTAGTAAATATGAGTTTATGGTTAATCTCAAAGCATGTATGATATGTGAAGGTCTTTAGCTTATGGACCCACTTATTCTTTAAAAATAAATTGGGTTTTTTTTGGTATTGAGTGATTTGAGTTTTTTATATATTTTGGATATCAGCCCCTTATCAGTAAGTTTGCAAACATCTCTCATTCAGTTGGTTGCCTTTTTGTTTTGTTGATGGTTTACTTTGCTGTGCAAAAACTTTTTAGTTTGATGTAGTCCCATTTGTTTGTCTTTGCTTTTGTTGCCCTTGCCTGAGGACAGACATTCAAAAAACTATTGCTATATTGCTAAGACTGACCTCAAAGAGTTTACTGCCTGTGTTTTCTTCTAGATGTTTTATGGTTTCAGGACTTACATTTAAGTCTTTAATCCATTTTGAGTTTATTATTGTATATAGTGTAAGAAAGTGGTCAAGTTTGATTCTTTTACATGTAGCTGTCCAGTTTTCCCAACACCATTTATAGAAGAGACTGTCTCTTCCCCATTGTATATTCTTGCCTCTTTTGTTATAGATTAATTGATGCTATGAGTGTCAGTTTATTTCTGGGCTCTCAATTCTTTTCTATTCATCTACGTGTCTGTTTTTGTGGCAGTACCATCCTGTTTTGATTACTACAGCTTTGTAATGCAGTTTCAAGTTCGGTGTATTTTCAGGTGTGACCCCTCCTTGTTCTTTCTCAAAATAGCTTTGGCTATTCGAGGTCTTTCGTGTTTCCATACACATTTTAGGATTATTTGTTCTACTTCTATGAAAAATGCTGCAGGTATTTTGACAGAGATTGCATTGAATCCATAGATTGCTTAGGGTAGTATGGACCTTTTAGCAACATTGATTCTTCCAATCCGTGAGCACAGTATAACTTTCCATTTATTTGTGTCATCTTCAGTTTCTTTCCTCAGTGACAAAGAGTTTTCAGAGTCAGGTGTTTCTACTCCTTGGTTAAATTTAGTCCTAGATATTTTATTCTTTTTGATGCAGTTGTAAATGGGGCAAGGATGTAGAGAAAAGGGAACCTTTCTACACTGTTGGTGGGAATGTAAATTGTTGCAGCCACTATGGAAAACAGTGTGGAGGTTCCTCAAAAAACTAAAGGTGGAATTACCATATGGTCCAGAAATTTCACTTCTGGTTATTTATCTGAAAAAAATAAAAACACTAACTTGGAAAACACCCCTGTGTTCATTGTAGCAGTATTTACAATAGCCAAGATATGGAAGCAGCCCAAGTGTCCATCAATAAATAAATGGATAAAGAAGATGTGGTGTCTGTGTGTGGTGTGAGTGTGTGCGCATGTGCGCGTATGCCCGCACACACGTACACAATGGAATATTACTCAACCATTAAAAAGAATGAAATCTTTGTGGACTTTTAGGGTATTATGCTTATTAGTGAAATAAGTCAGAGAAAGACAAATACCATATGATTTCAATTATATGTGGAATCTGAAACCACAGCAAACAAAACAAAACAGAGATTCATAGATACAGAGAACAAACTGATAGCTGCTAGAGGGGAGGAGGGTGGGGGGACGGATGAAATAGGTGAAGGAGATTAAGAGGTACAAACTTCCGGCTATAAAATAAGTAAGTCATGGGGATGTAATGTATACATAGGGAGTACAGTCAATAATATTGTAACAACTTTGTATGGTGACAGACAGTAAATGATCTTATTGCAGTGGTCATTTCATAATGTATAAAAATATGTAATCACTGTGTTGTACACCTGAAACTAATATACTTTTTTTAAATTAAAAAAAAGCCTGTCTATATTTGATTCTCTTCCTTAAAACCTATTTCAATCAGGCTTCTCTCTCCACCGTTCCACCAGAATTGCTCTGGTCAAGATCACCAATTTACTCCCTGTAGCTAAATCCATGGCTAGTTAGTTCTCAGTCCTTTTCTTAATTAACTTTAACTTGGCTTCTGACACCACACTTGCATGGTGGTCCTCATGCTTCATTGGCTGCTCTGCTTATCTCCTTTGCTGATTTCTTCCTCACCTCCCTGACCTCTTAATTGGAGTACCTTCAGACCTTGATCCTTGACCTCTTTCTTCTCTTTTTCCATGCTTGGCCTCTTTTTCTTTCCATGTTCATTCCTTTGGCTATTTTATTCAGTCACTTGTCCAGCTGTCTACAAGATTTCTTCACTAACATGTCCCAGGGGAGAAGAATGTATATACCAGTCTTCTCCCTAGATTTCCCTTTTCCATACATCTTCTTCAGAAAATCCTAGTGGCTGTACCTTCTGAACATATCTAGAGTGATTCTCATCATCTCTACCTCTACCACTTTGGTCCTGACACCAACATCTCTTATCCGGGTAACTGCAAAAGTTTTCTAACTGATCACTTTGCTTTTGCCCTTGCCCTTCTTCCGTCTGTTTTCAGTTATAGCCTACAGAGTGATGTAGGTCAGATATGTTAGTCCTCTGCAAAAAACTATTAAAAAGCTTTCCATTTCCAGAATACAGATACAGGTCCTTACAATGGCCTCTCATTACTTCATTAACCTCATGTACTTCAGCTCCTCCTCAATCACCCTAGTTGAGCCACTGGCTCTTTCTCCAGGTAGCTACACGGCTTGGTCCCTCATCTTATTCATATCTTTCAAATGTCTCCTTACTTGTTTTATTTTTCTCCATAACACTTATCATCAGATATACTGTACATTATATTATCTGCCCACATGGAAATGTAAGCATCATGAAATCAAGATTTTTGTTGTTGTTATTATTCACTACTATATTCCTAGCATCCAGAAAAATGTCAGGCATAGAGTAGGAGGTCAGTAAGTTGGTTAATGAATAAATAGAAAGAAACATACTAGTAAAACATGTTTTAAAGAACTCCCAAAACTTTCCAGTATTTGAAGAACAGACCTGAGGATCCATCTTCATTATTTCCAAGATCATTCCTATCAAATCAACAAACCACTTTTCTCTGTTGATTAGCTCTGTAAAATTAATTGACCCCTATTTGCAAAGTTATACTTTAGTCTTTGCATCACAAAAGGTGATAGTTACAATTATTATAGTTCAAAAACTCAATTAATGAAACAAAATAATTAAGTTGGTGCTAAGCTTTTCATGGTCCTGACAGATATCCCGGAAGCTGATGATTCTGGAATTTATGTTTATAGCTTTTTGTAGTTTTTAAATGCTGAGATGGTAGTCACAGCTTTTTACATCTGTACAGACTCCTTTCTGAACTAGTTCATGTTGCCTATGTGTTTTGTTTAGATTGAGTTATCTTAAAGTAATCTCTGAATGATTAGTTCTCTTACAATACGTGTAACCATTTCCACATGGTGATTATTGGCATGTGTTTAGCAATTACAGAGACTCTACAGTTTTCAGCTTTAAGAACTTTTATTGATTTCATCACTTTGTTTGGATAGCCATGCCAAAAAAAGAAAGGGGGGGGGAAAATTAGGAAAATAAGGTTTAGAAGAAGGATATAACACAGAGGAATGATGAAAGGCTTCTCTGGAAATAGAGTTCATTTTTTAAAATTGTTTAAGATATTAGGTATGCTTTTTTGTGGGAGGTGATTTAAACTTTCCTTTTAAACTTGCTTTATACCTTACCAAATAGTGTATTATTGAGAAACATGAATAAACTACAAGGTTAACACTCCATCCAAGACTTTTCAGCTCTGATTTATATTCAGTGATCATAATTTGGCAAGTTTTAATTACAGTCTCAAAATTTTAGTTGTCTGAATCATTATTTCGTTTACTGACTCGTTAAAGTCTTACAGCCACATTTGGAATGTTCAGGTATTGAGCCTGATGCAACAATCAAGAGTTGAAGGTTCTTCTCATAGTTTCTAGTTCATTTTTAGTTAAAATCTTTATCCCTTGAAAATTATTACAGTCTTATGTAAGAAGTTTAAAACCTTCAGATCTTGTTCTGCAAGTGCTGGGTGACCTAGGAACCTTTCTGAGCCTCAGCTTTTTCATCTGTCAGAAAGGCTTTTTTTTTTTTTTTTGCGGTACGCGGGCCTCTGTTGTGGCCTCTCCCGTTGCGGAGCACAGTCTCCGGACGCGCAGGCTCAGCGGCCATGGCTCACGGGCCTAGCCGCTCTGCAGCATGTGGGATCTTCCCGGACCGGGGCACGAACCTGTGTCCCCGCATCGGCAGGCGGACTCTCAACCACTGCGCCACCAGGGAAGCCCAAGAAAAGCTTTTTAATGGTATGTATTTCTTGTGAGTTTTGTGAGGTTTATCTTTTGAAACACTTAGCTACCTGCCTGGTGTTTTAAGCTCTTAGCTATTACTTTTGTGCCTCTATTTCCTCATCTGTAAAGCGGGGGTAATTAATAGTATTTATTTAGTATACTGAGAGGATTAAATGAGTAAATATATGTAAAGCACATAGTGCAGTGACTGGCACATAGTGAGCACTATGTAAGTGTAGTGTTATGTATTATAATGATGATTATTTTCTATACGTATCAGTGACTTCCTAGATCTGACAAGCTTAAGTTTGTGCTGCACCACAGCTTGTTGTACTTGGGGCTTATGTCTGCATTCAGCAAAAATTTACCCACACAATCTATGGTCTTGATAAGAAGCTTTTACACAAACCTGAGACAATCTGCTTCTTGAATTCATTATCAGTTTGGGAATATCTTTTTTGGGGTTCAAGGTGAGGGGATCCAGAGTTAGTACTCAGGCCCCCCTGAACAGTGTGTCTGGTCTCAGCTTTTACAGAATTCTGGAATGCCCACTTCCCCACATGATCTGTGTATAAACAAAGTACGATTATGCTCTTAGACTAACCAATGGTTTGGTGAAAAATAAACCAGAAATTTTATAGATACTTTATATATTGGAATTTTTTCTATTCTGTTTATTAGTTTCTCTGTTGTCCAATCAAATAATCAGATGCTCTTAAAGGAGTAAGAAAAATCCTTATCTTTTATACTAGACAGTCTCTTCACTTTTAGTTTCACTGCCTGTTCTTCTACTGTAGATACATTATTCAATTAACTATTCTGTCATCTCTGAAAAGCTACATATCAGAGGACAGTTTTCTATATTTTTGCCAGTTTCAGGGAGCTAATTAGTTGCTGAAGACCTAATAAAAAGATCTAGAAAGTTATATTTCTATTATTACTTAGTTATACTTAAGCAGTATTTTTGTTGTTTCCTCCAGGGAAATCATTTTCCGTTTGAAACTAACACTTAAGGGATTTGTTACTTCTCTTCATTGTTTCTTAAACTGATTCTTCATTTCAAAAGTTATTGAACATCTTCAGCTACTAAAATCGTGTTACATTCAACTTTACTCTCTTCTTCCTCATCATCCATTAAATAGAGGGATCGCTTGGTATATTGGTAGTTTTTAAGCCTAGACCAGATACCTTCTACAATGTGTTTGTCTCTTCTTGATTGTGAACTTTATAGTGTGAGTTACGGTAAAGAGAGGGGATAGGATATTATCCACGTGTAAAAGTGTTGTTTGTTTCTTTTCAGAGGATAATTTATTAGGAGGCAAGGTGCTGTACTAACAGAGTAAGGGCTTTGGTGTCAAATCTCACTCTTCTTGTTGCTTGTGTGACTTTGAGCAGCTTATCTTCTCTGAGCCCCAGTTTCTTTATATTTAAAACTAGAGTCAGTGTGTTTCTGTGAATTGCATGCAGCAACATATATTCCTGGTGGTTAGAAAATGCTAGTCCTGTCTCCTTCTTCCTTTCTCTTTCCATCTCACCAAGTGGAATGGGCAGCAGATGAAACCCAGAGTAGTTATTATATTTAGCTAGATAACCCCAACATTTAAGCCATTCTCCAGTATTGTAAGAAATCTTTAAGTACTATAGCAGCGATCTAGTCATTTATTTTTTATGTTGAAACAAATAGTAAAGCATAAGCTGCTTCTGCCATGTGTAAAATTATAACACATCAAATTATGCTCTCATCTGTTCAAAATCTTTCTTTATATGTAATGATAAAATGAATATCTTGTATTTTCATTCTAATCATTTGTATTTTCATTCTAATCATTTCATTCTAATCTAATTAGAATGAATCATTCCAATTCATTGAGCTATATTACCTGGAAAACTGTTTATTGTAAGAGTAAAAAATAATATCTTTAACATTTGTAAGGAAATGATAAAATATTTTACCAATCAAGAATATAAATTGCCGACATCGTAAAAATAAAATAAGTGTTAAAAGTAAACGTTTGGGGGCTTCCCTGGTGGCACAGTGGTTGAGAATCTGCCTGCTAATGCAAGGGACACGGGTTCGAGCCCTGGTCTAGGAGGATCCCACATGCCGCGGAGCAACTAGGCCCGTGAGCCACAACTACTGAGCCTGCGCGTCTGGAGCCTGTGCTCCGCAACAAGAGAGGCCGCGATAGTGAGAGGCCCGCGCACTGCAATGAAGAGTGGCCCCCACTTGCCACAACTAGAGAAAGCCCTCGCACAGAAACGAAGACCCAACACAGCAAAAATAAATAAATAAATTTTTTTAAAAAAGTAAACGTTTAAATCCTGATCCGATCTAAAGATCAGAAATTGTATCCAAGACAATTCACTAGAAATCTCTATGGACAGTTTATTAATATGTTAGCTATGTATTTTTTTTCCTCCCCCAACAGGAGAGCCTGACAAGGAGCTGAATCCTAAGAAGAAGATTTGGGAGCAGATCCAGCCTGATCTTTACACTAATGATGAGTGTGTGGCTACATACAAAGGAGCTCGCTTTGAGGTGAAAGGGAAGGGAGTCTGTAGGGCTCAAACTATGGCCAACAGTGGAATAAAATAAAATAAAACACTTCAGTTACTGAAATACATTAGAGAAAACTTAACAATAAAAAGAAATATATTTGTCACTTGTACCTAAAATATAACTGGCTCGTTTTTGTGTTATTTCTCTTCTAGACTTGAGTAGTCTTTTACCTGGCATATATTGTTTTCAGTTAATTAGAGAAACACTACATTTTTACCTATGGTTTTTGATCCTTTATGATACAGGGAGGAATTTGCCTGTGTTTCATGATGATTTATTTTTTAGTGAGGATGTTGGCTAGCACATTGCTTTTTCTTTATACATTTAGGTAACTTGAACTAGATTAACATTTAGTTTCTTTGTAGGCACATGTTGCATGCAATTTGAAACCCTTGTATTTTTAGTATCTGTATTATAAACGCCCTCTCCTCTTTAAAAAGAAAAGTTAGAATTTTTGTCAGGCTTATTAACTAATCTATATTGTAATGGTATTGAAAATGACCAACTGTTGATTCTAGAGAGCTGAACAATGTGAAAGCTAGGAGACATGGCATTTGAAAATGATTGCTGTTGCTTGCCAAAGTAACCCCGACTTACATACTTAAGGTGACTTTTTTAAAAGACTGAAACTTCCAACTCTGTAGTGAACTTATTCTTTCCAATTTAACAAAATAATTAGTAATAAATTTTGACTAATTCTAAAGAATAAACACATTGCAAAGTGTTACCAATGTAGTTCCCAATAAATTGACTGTAAACACAGTCCACTTTTTTATTCCAGGTGACTTCAAAGATTCTTTGGATACCTAATAAAAGATTATTTATAGCTTTTATCTTTAGAAGAGCATTTAAGATTGATATCTTTTATTTTTTCATGTACTATCATACTGTCAATATATTAAAAGAAATTGTAGCCAAAAATTTAACATACATATGTATAAAGTTGTCAAATGCGTATTTTCACTCATCTTACAGATATTGTAGGAACAATGAAAATTAACTTAGGCACTATGAGCTTCAGATTCACCAGCCTTGAGATGATGACTGAGATACCAAAAAAGAAATGCATCTATGGAGGTAGGAATATCTGTTCTAAAAGAAAAATGACACATACCAATATTCTAGCACTGTTGCTGTTTATAGCCTACAATAAGAAGGAGAGGCAAAACAAAAAATTTTAAAACAACCCTACATGCTAAGTTATAAAAAGTATCATTTATTTAAGTCCGTGGAGTTCTCTGGTAGGCCAAGATGTGGTATCATCATAGAAATTTTATCTGCTTTATGAAAAACTGAATATTAACAGAGCATCATTAATATCTATCTGTTGATAACTAAACACAAATGACTTTCCAAAGTTTTGTACTTGAGATATGTTATTCTTTCGGGAATAAAGACTTCTTGTGAGTCTGTATTTTCTGATTTTGCCCAATTATATTACATTTCTATAAATAATTCTAATATAATTTAAAGAATGTTTCAACTATTTAGATAGTTGAACTATTTATTCCCAGTTTTTCAAGTTACATAAAAGCATTACTCAATCAAGTTATCCACTTAGCCCCATTCAGTCGTTATTTTTACAGAAAACTTAATTCTGTTTTACTTGTATTGCTGGGTTGAGAGAACTGTTGCAGAATCAACAAAAAATGATGACATTGTTAGTGAACTGGACATAATCCTGACTTCTGACTGGTATTCAGCCCGTTAAGAATTTCAACAGTAGGAGATGGTGTTAGGTCACAGACTAAACAGCTAGTGCCTCTTGACATCTATTTATGTATTGCGAAGTAAACCAGAAAAAAAAGCTGACCTTCCCCCAAGATAATTTCTTGTGCAGTGTTGACCCACTATCTTATAGTGACTATTGGTAGTACTAACTTTTCTTATATATAGAAATTCCATGTGTATTATTCTTATGAGATGAATCATTTTCAGGACATGTTAATTTTAATATATAATTGGAAATTTTTTTTGCCTTCTATGAAGAACATGAAGTATTCTACGAGTACAAGAATATTAAGTGCCCACCAAACAGATAATTTGTTGTTGCTTTTTAAAAAATATGTAAATTCTCATTTGCACTATTTACAAAATATTCAGAGTAACTCACTGAAGTTTAATGAGCACGTCAGCAAGACGGAGGGTGTGTATAGGGCCTCAGAGAATGTTAGTTTAATGAGGTTCCAAAATCTGGGTCTTTGCAGGTCCAAAAACCTGCATTTGTACATGACTGTTGTAGATGCTAAGTAGTCTGTAGAGCTTAGTAGTATTGGTTTTGAATCCAGGTTACCTAGTTTTGATTCCATCTATACAACTTAAATGCCTGTGTGATCTTGGGCAACTGTTTAGCCTCCATATACCTTACTTTCCTCATCTGTAAGATGGATATAATAATAGTACTTACCTCATTGAGTTGTGAGGGTATATATTATGTTACACATAATAGAGGTATTCAATGTTAATATCAGTTTATGATAAGAATGTTCCTTTCCTGAAACTAGTGATCCTATCTCTCTGTCCCCTTTCATGGTATCACATTTCCTGACAAGTTGAATTTTTGTTCAGAAGATTACTTGGTATATATGAAATGAACTGAGTTTCTTAAGGAATATTTCACACAGACCCTGTCTTTCAACAGACCTGACCCGCTATACCAGATGTAGTATCTCTCCCCTCGCTAGAGATGTTTTTTACTGAAACTTTCTCTTCCCTCCCTGCACTCCCACTGAAATCCATGTTTTAGATATTTAGATGCTAGTCAGTCCTGTTCATTGATGCCCTTTCACTGGTTTAATATTATTGATAAAGTTTCAAATAGTATTGCAATTTTCTTAGACTAGAAAGACAATACTTCTAACTATTGTGTGTTAATGTAACAAATAAAAGCAATTGTATTTTTAAGTTCTTGGCAGGTGGAGGATCACCTCACTATTGCCTATGACAAGGACATTAAAGGGGCATGAGTATACTTACTCAATTTTCTAGGAAAATTATATGTTGTACCTTTAAAAATATAAAAATATCAGACACAGACCTACTAGAGAATGGACATGAGGATATGGGGAGGGGGAAGGGTAAGCTGTGACAAAGTGAGAGAGTGGCATGGACATATATACACTACCACACGTAAAATAGATAGCTATTGGGAAGCAGCCGCATAGCATAGGGAGATCAGCTCGGTGCTTTATGACCACCTAGAGGGGTGGGATAGGGAGGGTGGGAGGGAGGGAGACACGGGGGAAGAGTTATGGGAACATACGTATATGTGTAACTGATTCACTTTGTTATAAAGCAGAAACTAACACACCATTGTAAAGCAATTATACTCCAATAAAGATGTTAAAAAATATATATATATAAAAATATCAAAGAGTACAGTGTTAGCTTTGTACTTTGGCTACATAAATTGTGACACAGTCCTGGTTCTAAGTGCTGTGCAATGGTGTGTAGACTAAAACTTTATCGCCAAGATACAAAATAAAATCTAGTGAAGCAAATTAATGTAACACACCTAAAAATAATGTTGCAAATTGCTGTCTTGTGGAGAGAGCTTTGCCTTCCAACTGAGGGGGATATATTAATAATATCTGTCTCATGTCATGGATTTTATTGTAGAATTATTAGTAAGATATTTAATGCTTTATAGCTAGCTAAGTAGTTTCAACACATCTTGTCAATTTAACTCCCTAGAGGTAAGCCAGCTATTTTACCCCAAAGAATCAACAGGAAATTTACATAAATGCTGGTGCTAAGGTATAACTAGCTGAAACCTAGATTTTACTAATATTCTGCTTTTCTCTATTACAGTATGCTTTCTCAGATAGTCATGTGGTTTCTTTTATTTGAATGAGAAGTTTAACTTCTCTTTTGTCTAAACTGTAGGGAAAGATAATAAGTTAAAAAAACCTAAACTTCAGTAGTTCATGTAGGAGATTAAGGCAGCTCCTTTAGTCGAGTATTTAAGCGATTTTAAAGGGAGAGGAGGTCATTAAACCCTCCTTTGGAGTGGTTACAAAGAGAATTTATCAAGTTTTTTTCTTTTTGCTGAGGAAATTCTTAGGAAGAATCACTTGGCAAAACTAGGCTGCCGCTGCTGGCAGCTGTTGCCTTTCTAAAGAACCATGTATGTGCCTTGATTCTTTGAGTACACTCTTGTCGAGGGCACTGATCATGTAATGACAGTCTATCCCAGAAGTCTACTTATGAAGGATGTCACTAAGTTCTAGATAGGTAAATAGATGGATAGATAGGTAGAAAAAGTTTGTGTTTAAACCAGGAACACCTCTATAGTTGTACACATTTGCAGTGCTTTTTCGGTGACAACCCAAAGTTTTACAATAATAATGAAAAGAAAGATAGTTGCTAATGGCTAATATAACTCTGTACAAAACTGGATCTTCTTCAGATACCAACTTTTTGGAATGGAAAAGAATTAGTAATTTATATATACATTGTTGCTCATCGTACTTCTATGGTTACGGTTCTGACTTTGGATGAGTTTTGGCAGAGATAATTCATAGGAGTATAACTGTAAAAAAAATTAGAGAAAGGACCCAGAACAATGAAATAATTGTTAGTTTGAAAGTGAGCCATCTGGAATTTCAGAATATGAATTAATTATTGTATATTATATTTTTTCACCCTTATGTATTCCCTTGTTTGATTTTTTCCCTTCCCCTTCGTTACTCCCACCCCCTTCCTAACATACCCTATTCCCAGTTCTCTGGATTTTTGAGTAAAATATGCGTGTAAGTGTTATTTTATGTCTTCATCAGCATCATTTCCTATCTGGCAGGCTATTGTCCTTAGCAACAGCAGCAGAAACAAACCTGGGGCTCGATAATTGCAAGAAAAAAGAATAATCCTTTTAAATGAAAAGGCTAACTACTCTTCTTGACTATCCTGTTGCTACATAATGCATATAGAATTGTTCAAATAGCAGTTATTAATGTCTGCTCATTTCTTCAGTGGCATTCACGTGACGAGCCTTCACATCAAGGCTGCTCTGACAAAGTTTTACATTTGTTTTTGTAAATGGCCTCGTTAGAATATCATACATCCCAGTAGAGAAATGCTTTCAATGTATGCATCCACTTAACTAAGATATTTGGCTGA